CAGGCTGCACAGCCGCGTCTCCAGCTCCGGGCGCGATGCGGCATCCTGGAAGGCGTCCAGCAGCAGCTCCCCGGTGGCGGGCTGCACAGCCTGCGCGGGCACAAACACAAGCAAGGCGGTCACGGAGGGCACAGCTCAGCTCAGCGCAGGCAGGCGAGGGGGAAGTTTCGGGCCCCCAGCCCCACACAGGTCCCGCCTACTGCTCAAGACTGGTGCCCAGAAGTCCCAAACCGCCTGAGCCTCCGCTCCCCTCTAGGAAAGGGATAAGCCTGCCACCTCCCCACGGGCACTGTGAGCACGAGTCAGAGAGCAAATGTGCCCGCCATGTGAACTGAGGCCACAGGAGGTGGGGATGTCACACAGGCTTCACTGCCACGGGCTGCAACCTGGCCACCAACCACAGCAGAGCTACTCCACTCCTCTGTAGAACCGTAAAAAAGTATTTTTGCAAAAAGCAAAAAAAAAAAAAAAAAAAAAAAAAAAAAAAAAAAAAAAAAATCTCAAGCACAAGGTCCTGAGTTCAATCCTTGGTACAAAAAAAAAAAAAAAAAAAATAAAAAAAACGGAATGAAACCCAAGCAGACAGCCTCTCCAGCAGAGTAACTGTGACAACTAAAGCCTCCCACTGCCACCCAAGCTAAGAGCAAAGAAACCAAAGGACACTACTGTCTCGCAGAGGTGAGAAAGTTATACTTACATTTTTTTAAATGATTATTAATTCCCCTCAAAATCCTCGCCCTTGCTTGGAGCACCCTCAGTCCATATTCCCTGTCACCTTGTGCAGCGGCTCTGGAGTCCTCTTTCTAAGGGTCTTTATGAGGTGCTATCAAAATCTGGGTGCTGCTGCTGCTGAGCGCCCTCCAGTGGAAAGGCAGCTCACAACAGGGTGCCATCCTCATCCGCCTCCTCACAGGATCGGGCAAGACCTCTAGCTCTGCCCCAAAGTCAAAAGGACCATGAAAGGAAAACATTTTGAATCAATTCAGGACACTGAGGCAGCCAGGATGGCACAGCTCAAGACACTGGGCAATCAAGACACAGAGGGTTCCGGAGCTGCAGAAGTGGCAAGGACGGTGGGATGTGTTCAGAGCCAGGGGAGGATTCTGAGGGAGATCCGTGGCAATGTGTCTCTTACTGTAACACATTTTTTAAATATAAACAATCACCCTGTCCCACTTCATACACACGACACGGAGAAGCCATGTCAGTGTGTGTAAGCCGAGTGCCCAGACCAAAGGCACGGGGCCCGCCACGGTGTTCTGCAGGCACACAGCCCGTGCCCTCAGAGGTCCCCTGGCAGTGCCGGGGAAGGCGTGACACTCCTCCCGGCAGGGAGAGCCAGGGAGAACAGCACCGAGGGTCCAGGGAGCCGGCTCCAAGTAGCCACCCTAGCCTAGGGAGCTGCAGCGAGCACCTGCCCTGGCCCCATGAAGGGGCCTGCAGCTCGCAGGGCAGCACAGCTGGGCCAGGCTCAGGGCGTCACCAGCCCAGCAGTTACAGAAGTCAAGGAAGGGCCCAAGAAATCGCCGACAGGGAAACGACCAGCACCCACTGCACCATTGCCGCTCCCACCCCGCGGTGACCTCCGGCAGTTGGCCAGCGGCTGCTTCTCAACACAGTAGTGGGCAGTGTCTGTCGGCCTGCTCTGCAGGGAAGCAGGAATCAGCACACCCTGCCGAAGCTGGACAGCGGAGGACCTTACCCTCTGTCAACAGGATCAACTACCTACACTAGAGAAAAGCGCTTCTCAAAGAAGGCAGCCGTGCGGCTCCGAGAGAAGGATCTGCGGGCTCCGCAGAGCCACAGCCGCCAGAGCAGCCTGCGAGCCTCCCGGGGACATGCGTTCATCTCCGCACTGCCGCAGGTGAGGAAAAGCATAGAGAAGCCGTTACCCACTTCACTGAGCTTTCAACTGAAGGAGGGAGCGCGGGGGTCCCACGGGTCCCCCTGACATTCAAGACTCCGCGCAGGGGCCCAGGAGGTCTAAGAAAGGGGCGCTTCACCCACCCGGCAGCAGCGGCAGTCGAAGCTTGACTCCTGAATGCCGCTTATCCGGAAGGCTAACGTAAGCATTCCTAGCACTACCGCTGACAAGTTCTATCGGCCGATTACCGTTTCCCCTTCATTATCTCTTCCTCCAGATCAGCACAGGACAGCCCCATAAGCACTCCTGCTCAAGTCCAAACCCTGAGGTCTGCGCAAGCCTGCCACTCACGCATGCCCCGGTTTAGTGCTTTATTCCATAGCCTGAGCCTCGTCCACATTCGTAGCTGTCACCGCGCCCATCTCCAACCCGACCCTAGCGGGCATGAGCCAGGCCCAAAAAGAAAAAAGAAACAGAGTCGGCTGGAGCTTGCCGGAGCGCAGTGCCAAGCAGGGGCGGGAGAAAACGAACTGAGGGTCGAGCACGCAGCGTCACAGGGGACCGCTCACCACGAGGCCCACTGACACGCTGCCCCTCCTCCTGTCCGGAACGCTCTCCGTGTCCTCGCAGATGCACAGGAGGTACCCAGCAGAAGCATCGGTCGCCGCCTCGTCGTCCACACTGACAGCATCACCCAGCTTGCCGAGGGGGCTCACATGTGACGGTGGCTCAAGGAAAGCACCGTCCGCCCATCAGTGGCCCCTCCAGCCCATCTCCTCGGCCCGCCACACAGCACCCTGCTTCTCTCCCTGCAGCTACAAGGCCCAGGAGGACCAGTGGCAGCCACCTCCCCCCTCCCGAAGCCCTCGCAGAGCCCCTGGACCCTGTGGAGGCCCGAACGTGGTCCACTGCTTCACTCCAGTGACCCGGCCACCCGTGCGTCCCCTTCACCAAGGGCTGAAGTGACCACATGACTGCGCCTCCTCCAGAAGAACCACTTCTTAAAAATATCTGTCATCTTGCTGCAGGTTTAGCTCAGAGGTTCTGCTGCCTGCCTCACAAGGCAAGGTCCCAAATTTGATCCCCAGTACCAAAAAAAAACATCTGTCCTCTTAAACAGGGCCCCTGGAACACATAAGAGAGAAACTCCTCTCAGAAAGGATATCTTCCCCGATGAGCGTCGACTTCGTGTACAGAGCAGTCAGCTTCCGGGCAAAGAGGGAGCCTCTGCTGTCACCAACAGCCTTCAGGGCCGCCGTTTCCGTCTGCTTCACAACTCCCACCTTCGGCAAGGACAAGAGAGATCTGGTAGCAAATGTGATGCAAAACCCTCATTTCAAAATGCCTAAAGGTTGACTCTGAAAGCCCCCAGGAAGCATGCTCGCAGTGTCCAGAAGTGAGACCAAGCACCCCATCGCACGCCGGAGACCGCTGCGGAGCGTTCTGCCCCGGCCCTACAGATGCTCACTGCACATGCCTAACCAAATCTTTCTCGTCTGCACTAGGGGGACTGAACTCAGGGACTCTCTACCTACCTACACCCCTAGTTCTTTATTTAGTTTTTATTTTGATGCAGTATCTTGCTAAGTCACTCATTGCCCGGAATGAGCTCAAACTTGGAATCCTCCTGCCTCAGCCTCCCAGAGCGCTGTATTATGGGCCTAACAAAATGTTTTTAAAAGCCATGATATAATGCTGGTAATCATGACACACTTTCATTTTTCCAAAATGCCAGATCCTAAGACCAATCAAAGCCTGCCTCCCGCCTCTCTCCCCAGCTGAGTCCCAATCCCCTCCTCCCATGGCAGGAGTCAGCTGACCTTGTAGCCCTTGGCCACGAGGCGGCGCACGTGGACAAAGAGCCGGTGCGTGGGAATGCTGGCCGTCATGAAGCTATGGTCCAGGTGGCAGTAGATATTGAGCTCGCGGGCAGCAATCTAAGCAACACCAAAGGAAGCGTCAATGCCAGCCTGAGATTCCCTGTGGGTCCGTCCACTTGTTAAAAATGCAGCAGGATGAACACTGGGTTTGCGCACTCCTCTAAGTGTCCAGTGGAGGTCCAACATGCTTGTGCTGGCCTGATCCACCCATGGTGCCTGTGGCACCTGCATGACCGCGCAGGGCTGGGCCACTGCTGTCATCGGTGCATAAACCGCCCGAAGGGACATGGGTTAGGGCCCCATCACGGGGTGCAGAGCCGTCAGGCCCAGTGGCCTGGCTCGGCCCCAGCTCCTTCTAAGTGACTCAGAACACCGTGTCGGGCCTCCTCCGCCCTCATGGGGCCCCTGGATCCACACAGCATGTGGGTAAGAGAGGAAGAATTCACCGTGCAGACACTGACGGTGAGAAGAGACTGCAGAGGGACGGAAATGGCGAGCCTGCTGGGACACAGGAGGGTGAGGAAGCAACAGGAAAAAGCCCCGGTGGGTGAGGGCCACGTCAGTGACACGGGATGGAGGGGCAGCAGCGGGAGCAGCACCTGGCTTCTTCCAGAGCCTGCAGAGCTTAGACAGTGCCTGCCTGAGCCTCACTGGAGGACCTGGTCCCTCTGAGGCAGGACTGAACTCCCGGCTGACCTGGAGGACGCCGACCACACAGTGGGCATCCCCGGGAGCACCTCAGAGGACCCTAACACAGCACAGCGCACAGCGCAGGGAACATGCCCTGCTGCCCGGGACTGGGGAAGAGGCATCTGGAGGCCCAGCCTGCACAGCCCCTCTGTGGGCAGCACATGGCCACCCAAGGGCATCTGCTGCCCCGTGCCTCCTGCTGTATGCACAAACCCACTATGCCCCTCAGAACCAACAGCCGCAGGCGCCCAGCCGGACGGTGGGCCAGCACGTGTGCCACACAGCCACCGTGATGCTTCAGATGCCGCGGCAGCGGGCAGGCTTGAGTGCGCCTCCACTGTGGCCCTGGCTCCGGAAATCCGTGAGTGGAGGACTTCCGTCCACCTCTGTGCTCCCTGCTGAGTCTACATTAGCAAACACACTGGTGAGATTGTGGCTCATTTACTAATCCACTGCTCCAATAAAGTTTTTTAATGGTGGTGGCACCAGGGATTGAACCAGGGCCTTCATCCTGAGCTACACCTGTAGCCCTTTTCTTTTGGAGAGACAGTCTCAAAAAGTCGCTAAGTTATCCAGGTTGGGCTCAAACTTGAGATCCTCCTGCCTCAGCCTCCAAGAGTGCTGGGATTACAGGCATGCCACCCCAGAGAATAAACGCTAACATTCCAGTTGTCCCCCCTTCCTAACCTGAGAGTCTAGCTCCCACCACCAGATTTCTTGGTGTTTCAGTTTTTGTTTTAAGTGACAGCATCTTTAAAGGGTGAATGATCAAATTAGCTTTTTCACAACGAAAATGAAACAATACTAAAAAAATATCTACAGCTGCGAAAAACCGCAAAACAGTGCTTGGAAAAACAACTCACCTCTGCGTCTTCGCCAAAGAACCTGTACTTATACCCACACTCCACACACAGAAGCGTGTCCGGGTGCTGCTGCTTCACCGCCAGGTACTGAAGCTCCAGTGGTGTGTAGACGCCCTTGGAGCGCTGGTTCCGGGCTCTGCGGTCAGAGGGTTTCTGGGCGCTCTCAGGCCCAGACTCACTGTCCTGTGACCAAAAGATTCATACGACTTTAACTATATAGTAAGTTCCCAGAGATGGAAGAGCAAACTGGTGAAGTAGGGAAGGTTTCTCCAGCCCACGGCAGTGGTCCTGCAAGATAGCTGTGGTTTGGGATTTCTCAAAGTAAAAGCTGAAAAAAAGTACCCGCCAAAACAAACTGTGAGTAAATTTTAAGAGTATAGATACTTTAACACTGTGTGTGCTTCTTTTTAAATTTGGTTCGTTAAATCGATCACTAACATTTCTCTGCTTATTGTGGACTCCTGGTGTGCGATGCACAAGACCAATGGGCACAACCTCGGGCAAACCGCCTCCAGCAACGCCAACGACGACGATGCACTTAGGGCTCCACCCCAACGAAGAGCCGGGGCTCTTGGTAAAGAAACGTGAGAACGAGCTCTTGGAAGACATAGAGCACAGAGCTCTATTCGCAGTACGAGTGCTCCTCCTATCCTTGATGAAAACTTAACTAATTCCAATCTATAGTCAGAGAGTCTTGCTTATTGGACTTTAGACAAAGGAAAGGGGAAACTAAATCCAGTCTCTTATGTAGTCACCACTCTGTCACTGCCAACATCTAAAAACTACCTTAGCTAGCCCTGTATATCGGTCACTTACTCTTTACTGGGACAAAAAAAAAAAGAAAAAGAAAAAAGAAAAACTAATACCCACAATGTAAGGGAAGAGAGGCCTATTTTGCTCAGTTTTCAGAGGGTTCAGTCCTGGTTGTCTGACTCCCAGCAGAAAATGCACCGCAGAGGGCCTGGCGGAAGAAAAGCTGCTCAACTAACGGCAGCCAGGAAGCAGAGGGAGGAGGGTGGAGCCGGGGTCAAGAATCACCCTTGCATCTTACACCACACTGACCCCGACCAGCACAGTCAGCTCCTGGTCTCACAGATGGGTGAGTCTGCTGCTGAGCACAGTGCCCGTGACACAAACACACACACACACACACACACACACACACACACAAACACACACACCCTGCCCTGTCTCCCACACTCAGGAGACCAGGGGATGAGCACTTTAGAGGCAAATCATAACAGCTGGAATCAAAACCATGCCTAAAAGACTCAGTGACAAACAGAAGAGAAGAAAGAAAAGAAAAACAGCCCAGGAACGGGAGCCTCACTCCACGAGAAAACCGAAAAACTGTATTTTGCATTTGCCAAACGTTTAAAAACCTCAGCTTATAGTTGGACAGCCAGCAGAAGCAACAACTTCCCAAAGAGACTGAGCAATTTTCAAAACTCAGCAGTAAGAAGACAGCAAGGTGTGGACAGCTGCAGCCAGAGAGGGGCCCCAGGTCTTAGGGCCAGGTGCTTGAAATTCTCACAGGTTTTTCTCCTTTGTTTCTGTGGATTTTATATAAAACCCAGGAGTACTACATACTGTAAATGTTAACCAACACTTACAAAAATATACACACTAGAAAAAAATAATTTTTATTTCATTCGTTGTGGAAGAAGATAATCCTCCAGAAAAAAAAAAAAAACTACTCGTGTGGGATACTAACTATTAAATCAATCTAAATACTTGAATGTTCAGGAAGTTTTGACAGTATTAGGGCAGAAATATTTCTCAGATATATTGCATTATCTTTCATGTTCACAGAAACAGCATACCAAGCTTCTTTTAAACTTGTTTTCTTAAGTCAAGAAAAACAAGATAAATTGCAAAACATATCAAGAATTATGAATTATGGTATTGGGCCAGGGATTTAGCTCAGTGGTTCTGCTGCCTGCCTCACAAGCACAAGGTCCCGAGTTCAATCCTCAGTACCAAAAAAAAAAAAAAAAAATTATGATATTGCTAAATGTCCTAGACCACTGGACACTGTAGTTTATTTGGTAGCTTTTACCATTCACCTGTGCCCTTCTGTGCCACTGAACTGCTTACACGTGTAATAATGTCCCCATACTGCTCTGGTTACTTCTAACTTCCTGCGCTGTAGAGAAGCCACGGCAGCCATGTGTTGTATCAAGTGATGACAAATAAGTCTACGAGCAGGGAAATGTTCTGATTAATACGTGAGCTTTTCTGTTATCTTGGCAATCTGCCGCTTTTTTTTTTTTTTTTTTTTTTTTTTTTGGTACGGGGGATCGAATACATGAGCTTTTCTAAGACAGACTTCACACCTTCTGTGCACTAAGATCACTACTCCCAGGTGAACCGGTTCTAAGTAGTAAAGGAGATGAAAGGCAAAACAAACCTCTTTTTCCCCTGATTATCTAAGATTAATGTTAGCCTGGCTAAGAAAGGAATTCGTGGATCTGGATTCTGTGGGAAAGGGTGTAAACTTCTGAAAATTACAGGTAAACTTTTATTGGCCTGGGTATTTTTCTAAGGAAAAAACAACTTTTATGAGAATCTCAACGACTCAAAAAAATTAATCTATATGTGTATAGATAAATAAAATACTTCTCAAATGACAGTTATCACCTGCGGCTATCCACTGAAATAAGAGCTTTTAAGAAATATCTGTACCCAATCCTCAATGAAGACCAATCAAATAAGATTCTGAGGGAAGGTTCTAAATACAAGTTTTTGATTTGTTTGGTTCTTGTGGTTTATTTTCTCCAAGTGATTCTAATTTAAAGGTAAGACTGTGTGCTCACTTCAGCAGCACATATGCTAAAGGTAAGACTGAGAACCAACCACTAATCTCAAATACAGCTTTCAATGATGGAGCAAGAGTTAAGTGTCCTGACTGTGCAGTAATAAAAACCACTAGTAAGTCACAAAGAAAGAAGCACAAGAGCTCATACTCATTTGGTTTATCTTTAGTTTGCTTGTCATCTGCCCAGTTCTCAACTGACAACCTCAAAGCATCTAAAAATGCCACTGTGGGGATTTGCCATGGAAATCACGGCAACTGTGAAGGACAGGAACAAACTTGGACTTACGTTACCAATGACTTGTCCCCCAGGGCAATGGCTCCTAATCCAAGCAGGACATCAGAATCATAACATGAACCAATCTATTCTTCCTGATACATAATAAATTTAAATCTCCAAAGACGACAAAAAACAAAACACAAAGAAACAAAAGCTAACTCAGATGTCTGCCAAGTTTGGGAGCCAAAGCCCAGACTGACCCACAGACCCAGAAGTACTTCAGAACCGCCTACTCTAATTGGATGTTGGTCTGCGGCAACTACATACCTTCTGATGACTTCGAGATTTGGACTCTCCAGAAGAAACGGCATTCTTTGCACGCTGAAGACTGATATCTTCAAAATCAGTACATTTTGGCAGAACTTCGAATCTCCCCTGATAAGGCTCTGCCTGGGCTCTGTTGTGAGGGACAGCAGAGTCACAGCAGAATTCTTTCAGTTTCTCCAGAGACTGTGAAGCGATCCTGGTCCTCAGACATCTCTTTGGCTCTTGAGAAACAGATGAGAAGAAAACAACAAAAGTACTTTGGTCTCAGTGTGTCAGCGCGCAACCAGCATGGGACTGTTTAAAGAGGGAGATTCCCATCTAAGTCATGAACCTAAGTTGGTGATAATGAAATAAAGATCACTGGGTTCCAGTTAGAGATGTCATACTGAAACACACAACTGCTTAATTTCACTTACTACTGAAGCCCCTGCTACAGGCTACAGGAGAATTTTGCTTCTGCTTGTTTTTAGATACAAGGACGAACAGGACAGGAAAGCTGACAACTGCAAATGAAATATCTGAAGCAAAAATAAATAACCAGTTCAGCTAAATCCTAAGTCAGAAACTGAAAAAGAAAACCAAGAGCAGATCTTGCAACACAAAATAGTCCAAGACTCGGGAGTAGAGCAGCGGAATGAAGGGCAGTTCTAACGTGAACAGGAGACGTTCTGGGGCCGGGCATTTAGCTCAGTGGTGCCGCCACCTGCCTCACAAGAAGAGAGATTCAAAGCAATTTCATTCCTAGACCTGTGCCTTCCTCCAAACTCGGAGGCACTAACCGGCTTTTCTCCCTGAGCAGCAGACTGGAGAGTTCCCCGGAAGGGAAACCAGGAACAAACGCCGGCTGGATGCTGAGACCCGAGACTGGACCCTGGGGCTCCCCTGCTGGCACCTTCACCAGAGAAAGCTTTTCACGTTGACCCTAAATCTAAACTTTAATTTCCATGCAGAAATAGGTACTTTACAAGTTCATCTCTAGCATGCATGTATCTCCACGGAAAAGGGACTTGTTGTTTCTTCATTTATGCACTTATTTGGGCTCCTGTCTCTGGGGATTTCTGATCTTCTCTTATCACAAATTCACTGAGACCCAAAACTGGAGGAAAATCTGCACTACCATTTCTACCCAACCCCAGCTCTGCAAGTCCAGGAGCTCAGGAATGCTGTTCTTCCCCAACGTTGGGTGTGCGTGTGTGTGCATGTGCGTGTGTGTTCCCAGCAGTGCTGGAGATGGAACCCAGGGCCTCACACATGCCAGGCAAGGGCCTTCCCACTGAGCCGGCCCCTCAGTGCCACTCAACACAGCTTTGTGCAAAAACAGAAGAGGGCAGACCTTCGTGACCTGACACAGAAGGGGGCCAGAATGTCCTGCTAAGTGAAAGAAGCACGCTGCAAGTCTCCAGATATAGGACAACGCAACCTGTAAGACACAATAATTACTGTGAAGTAATGTGTAGGTCTATTTGTGTCCACATAGGTGGGAATGAACAGGAAAATCTGGATGAACACACAGCAGCCCAAGCAGGAAACCTCCCTGAAGGGGACTGTAGAGTCCTTCACTGTCCACCCTCCAGATCTCCGCAATGCTTGGCATTTCCTACCAAGCATGTTTCGTTTTTATAACTTGGCTTGAGCTAAAGAAAGCTGGGAGAGCTCTACTGTCCCCACCTCCCACACAGCCCACTTGTGCTCAGGCAAGGGCAATCTGGTCCTTGCAGGAAAAAGTGCCAGGCTCAGAGTCCTGTTCTGCAGCCTGGAGACCCAGGGACCTGGGAGCACAGAAGCAGCACCATCCAGAACACACCAGCGTCACCGGCAGACTCTGCCACCGCCAGGTCCCCTCCACCTTCCCGTTCCTGCGTTCTCCTAGCTTTCTTCCTGACAGAAGCAGTGTTCTCTGCTGGTCTCGTCTTCCTTCGGTCTGTTTTCGCCGCCTGTACCTGGAAGATTAGAAGGCAGATGTGTGACCTCGGTCAGGAAGACTTGCTGTGTGTGGAGGGAGTGGGATCCCACATCTGAACCACGCCCACCCTTCACAGAAGGGTCCACAGTTCTTTCAGCCCGCCTTGCATGCGCACATGAATTAATATTCACCTACCACTATACTATTATTTCTGTAGTCAATTAGTGTAATGCTCTTAAGACATAACATTTATATGAACATATAAAGGATTTATCCAAAACTCCATCAAAAATTCATGCTTTCATAGAGTAGCAAAAAAAAAAACCATGCTACCACTCAAAAAATCACCTAACTAATCACCATAAACCCACCCGGGAAAGGCCTTTGGTTAAGATGGAAACCGGCAGGTTGTAAGCCTCAGTAACTCAAGTTCAGTTAGAATGTAGTGAAACTAAACCTCTTGCCTTCCCTTACTCAATCAGCCTCCGCCCACCTCAAATTATAAAACCTGAATCACAGCCAAGTGTGGTGGAGAACATCTTAATCTCAGCACTCTGGGAGGCAGAGATAGGAGGACTGAATGTTCAGCCCAGCCTGGGCAACTTAGCAACTTACAAGACCTTGTCTCAAAATAACACCTGCAAAAGGCTGGGGATGTTGTTCAGTGTGAAGGCCCTGGGTGCAATCCCCAGGCCTGAAAAACAAACAGCACCGCACCACTTACATATGCTAAATAAAATATGTCTAGGAAATAAAGTAGCATCTACGCACTGAAGGCAAAATCTGAGGCAAAAGGTAACAAACTAATGACGTCATTTTAAAAATGTGAATTGCAATCTAGCCATCTCCTGAGTCAACAGCGTATGTACATTCACTGTTAAAGATGCCACAGATGCAGCCATCTGCAGGCAGGAAACCTGACAAACAAAACTCAAGTCCTTCACCACATAGTCTGGAGATGGCGGGTGCAAAATCAAATCTTGGCAAACTCATGAAATTATAGACCACCCTAAAAAAGCCAGAAAGACAGTGATGTGCAGGTATTACAGGGAAGACACACCGGCGAAGGAAACATGTGGCCCCAGGCTAGCAAGAGCTGCACTCAGGCCATGGCTGCCAGCTGGCCTGCACCCCGACCCCGCAGCGCAGCCCAGCGCCCAGCCGGCGCCAGCCCAGGGCCTTCCCTTGTGGTAACGCACTGGATCGGGTTTAAAAAGGCTTTTCACCACTTGTTTTATTCTGCTGAAGGGTGGTGCGGCAGGAAGTACCCAATGACACAGCATTCACATCTAAGAAACTTTATCCACCCAACTGAATGTCACACTTCACACAGTCGCAGGGACGGCACAGGTGCTGCTTCTGTCCACTGTCCTAGAAACGCTGGACACTGACATGCCTCTTAGTAAGAAAAGCTCCTTTTCCTCAATCTAACCGGGGAAAAGGACGCTGGAGGTTTAAAACCCCGTCCCTTGCCCGCTGGCCCAGTCCACTCGGCAGAATGCCAGGTGTCAGCTCAGGTCCCCCATAGCAACCAGGTAACCGAGACTCCAGCACCAGGGGTCCCCCCCAAACCTGCTCCTCCGCCCCGCCCCTTTCTCCCGAGCCCAGCATCTCGCGGGATGTCACGCGAGGTCCCGCCCATAGGCGCCGGCCCGCCCGTAGGCCCCGTCCCCGGGCAGAACCCACCTGCGGCGACGCTGGCACCCGAGGGACGGCGGACGCAAGGGGCGCTGTGGAGGTAGGGTCTGCCTGGTCGGCAGCGCCAGTGGGGGACGAGGTAGATTTCAGGCTTCCCGCGGGCTGGAAGAACCGGCTCAAAACGGCTTGCCTCCCGGGTGCCGGGCCCGCAGCAGCCACACCGCCTGACAACGGCTTACGGCGCGACATCGCGGTGCGGAAAGGCGGAGATACCGGCGGGAGCGCGAGTACCCGGGCATGTGCGG